GGAATAGAGAGGAGTGGGGCTGGAATGGGGTACATGGGATAGGGGGGGCAGGAGGTGGAATGGGGAAAATTGAATGGGGTTGGAATAGAGAGGAATGGGGCCGGAATGGGATAGGGGGGCGTGGTGCTGGAATGGGGTTGGAATAGAGAGGAGTGGGGTGGGAATAGGGCTGGAATGGGGCACGTGGGATAGGGGGGGCACGGAGCTGGAGTGGAGGAAGTGGAATGGGATTGGAATAGGAAGAGTGGAAAACGTAATTGGAGTTGGAAGAATGGGATTGAAATGGGGGAGTGGGGTTGTACTGCAGGAAATGGGGTTGGAAAAGGAAGCATGGGGCTGCAGTAGGGGAGAATTGGGATGGGATGGGGGAGCAGGGCTGGAATAGGGGGGAATGGGGCTGGGATAGGGGGAAGTGAGGTTTGGGGTGTTGGGCTTTTAGAAGTGCTGGTTTGGAACCCTGAACTTGCTGGGTTTCATCCACACCTGTGCAAAATTTCAGGAACAGAAAATGAAACTGTGTTTTTACAGTGATCATAGAATAATGGGATCCTGGAATGGTGTGGGTGGGAAGGGACCTTAGAGCTCATCCAGTCCTACCTCCTGCCTTGGGCAGGGACAGCTTCCACTATCCCAGGCTGCTCCAAGCCCCATCCAGCCTGGCCTTGGACACTGCCAGGGATGGCACAGCCACAGCTGCTCTGGGCAAGCTTTACCAGGGCCTCAGCACCCTCACAGGGAAAGATTCCTTTCAATATCCCATCTTAATCTCCTCTTTTCTAGTTTGGAGTTATTCCCCTTTGTCCTATCACTCCTTTTCCATTTTTCCTTCAGACTCCCTCAAGGGGCAGTTGGGTCAGCACAGAGCCTTCTCTTTTCCAGCCTGAACAATCCCAGCTGTCCCAGCCTTTCCCTGCAGCAGAGCTGCTGATCCCCTTGGTGTCCCTACCAACACCAAACCCTTTATCCCCTGCCAGCAGAGCCATGCACATTTCCCTCCCCCTGGAATGCTTTCCCTGGGATGTGACCCTGGTTGTGCTGTGCTGCAGGCGAGGCCCTGCCCGTTCCCGTGCCCGTTCCCGTGCGTGGAGCGCTGCTCCCGGTGGGAGATGCAGCCGATGGAGCCGTGCCCAGCCCCCTGCTGCTGAGGCAGGACGAGCAGCTGGAGCTGCTGGAGCGCCTGGACTTCGTGGTGAGGAACGTGGCCGAGCTGAGGAAGGAGGTGGAGGAGCTGCGGAACAGCCTGCAGGACCTGGCGGTGGAGATCGTGGATGAAGTCAGGTACTGCCCCTCTGTGCTGGGAAACGGGCACAGCATGCCTGGGGCTGGGAATGCCTGGGCTGGGAGGGACCTCAGAGCCCACTCACACATGGCAGGGACTCCTTCCTCTAGCCCAGGCTGCTCCAAGCCCATCCAGCCTGGCCTTGGGCACTGCCAGGGATAAAACAGCCACAGCTTCCCTGGGAGATTCATTCCGGTGCTGCACCACCCTCACAGGGAAAGATCCATTCCCTAAATCCAACCTAAATTTCCCCCTCTTCCAGTCTGAATCTGTTCTTTAACTCCCTGATGCAGGGGCTGGATGGACATCCCATCTATGGATTCTGTAAGGGTTGTCCATGCAGGAGGATTTGCTTTACCTGCAGATATATATATTGTATTAGATACATTATATTATATTGTATGTGTCATATAATTATACATTGTATGTATAATATATATAATATAACTATATATTATCTATTATACAATATACATTATATAATATATATGTAATAGATACTATACTATATATTATAATACATAATAATAATATATAATATATTATGACATATAAAATATAATAAGTACCATATTATAATATATAAAATATAATATATAAAACATTGCAATATTTTATGTATTTTATATATAATTATATATATAATTTATATATATGTATTTTATATATATTTTGTATGTATTATATATATATATGTATTTTATATATATGTGTTTTAGATATGATATATAATATATATTATTGTACAATGATACATTAATACATAATACAAAAATGCATTCTATTATATTATATATATAATTTTAATTGTATATATATTATATAATTGTATATTATATAGTATATATTATAGAATGCATTATATTAGATACATTGTATATTATAGTTATAATTATATAACTATATATGATATACTATATATAATATATATTATACTATATAATATATATATAATATAGTATAATATATCGTATATATATATAATATATGTATAATATATATAATATATATAATATAGTATAATATATATTATATATAGTATAGTGTATCGTATATAGTTATATAATTATATATAGTATAATATATATTTAAAAATAAACAAATAAATATAATATTAATATATATTATACAGAACACACCATCAGCTCCATTTGAGTTTGTCTAAACAGGAGTGAACCACCTTGTGAATTCTTTGCCTGGAAAGGGAATTGGGTGGAGTCTGCTGGAGAGGAGAAGGGGAATAGCAGATAATTCACTACCAAATATTTATTTCTTTTCCTTTTTCTGTCCCTGCAGGGCCCACCTGGAAGAAACCCAGCGTGTGGGTCGCCGGAGGAAGTTCCCCTTCAGGGAGAGAAGTGACTCCACAGGCTCCAGCTCCATTTATTTCACCACCAGCTCAAGGAATCCCAACACAGATGATGGAGAGAGTGAAGGGGGGTAAGGAGAGCAGTGGGACAGATGTTTTAGGGGATTTGGTGCCACATCTGGGCAGTTTAGAACATAAAGATGGGAATTTTCTTCTCCTAGAGCCTGTTTTAGTTTGCTTTTGTTACAGTAAGTGTGTTACTGCCAGGGCCAGACTGAGAGATCTGAAATGATCCTTTAAGAGAAAGGAAAATAAAATTTTGAAGGGTTTTAAAGAAACAATTTGATTAAGGAACCTTGCAGAAGGAAGAGAAGTATGAGTCCAGCCTGGATATGGAGTGAGAGAGTTTGGAAATCAAATTTCCAGACAATTTATATTATATTAAAATGATCAAATCTTTGGATCAGTGAAGGTGGAAGGGACCCAGGAGCATCATCCAAGTCCAACTCCTGGCCCTGCACACTACAGAAAATTCTGTGTGGTGTAAGAACATCATTAAAAATGCCAGATTAGCTGCAGGTTATATAGTAAGACAGGTAACAAGTTCTCCTGCACCTGTGACTGCTGATTTTCTGAGGAGTTGCTGCTCCTTTGTGCCTGAATCTGACCACTTCTGTAGCTTTTGGGGTATGGAAGTGTGTCCAAAAACAGCTGGTGCTACTATTTGCATTTTCCCAGAGTATTTGGGATGAAATGTCATTTAAAGAGGGATTTTAGAGCAGTGGGAGCATTTCATTTTCAGAGCAATGGGGGAATTTGAGCACCCAAATGATCTGGGGGCTGGTGTGAGCTGGCATTTCAGCAGGGATTTTTCTTGCCAGGACAAAGAACAGGGATTTGGGACTGCCCTAAGCTCATGTTTGTCTCTAACTGGAGCTGGTGAGGGTGATATCATTGGGGTTATAGGTTAATCTCTTCATTCAGTTCAAGTGGGTGTTGGGATGGGAAGGAAATTAGGGAGGGAGTGATTCATGGTGGTGTAATAGGTAACAAGGCTGCAGAACAGATTTTAGAACTGCAGTTGGTGCTGAAGGCAGGGCTTGGGTGTTTGGGTAACAGCAGATGCACTGAGTCACCAGGGGAACAATGGTTTGTGTAAACCTGCTGGAAAAGGGGGTTTTGGCCACACATCCCAGCCCTGGCTGTCCTCAAATCATAAAAAAATATGAGTTGTTATGGAGGCCAAGAATTTAGAGTTACAGAAAAGGCACCTCCTGAGGGGGCAGGGGTGTATTTCACTGCAAAACCTCATTAATTTATTGGGAATCCAGAGGTGGTTGGTAGAGTCCTCATCTATTAATTATCATCTGTAATTAGCTGTAATGACCAGTGTGGGGATTGGTGGATTAGCAGCTCTCACCTGATTTAAAACTGGAATCTTAGGTAATGTCTCACTTTGGTCATACACAGGGAGGTGTAAAAATATCAGTCAGGCCAGGACCAGCTGCCTGCAGTGTGCAGTGTTGTCTGCTAGGGATGTGAATGTGCTTGAAAAGTAGCATTTTCAGGCTAGGAAATGTAAATTTTGCAAAAAACCTACTGAAGCTTTGGAGCAGGCAGTGGGAGGAGGAATGAGCCTGTTGCCAGCAGATGGATTTCAGCTGGGTTTTCCTTGCTGAATCCTTTCAGTGGAATTCAGAACAGACAACCCCCAATTTCAGCTTTATTTTGTGAACCACCTGGGCATGAGCAGCTTCTCCAATTTCAGACACAATTCCCAAAAATCTACCAAGAGTTTTCAGGGGGGTTGCGCTGTTTCATTTCCCTATGTGGCTTTAGGTTTTGGGCTTCTTCTCCTCCTCTTCCCATGGGCTGTTTTCCTTCAGGATTGCCACATTAAAGCATTCCAGAGCTTTCCCTCATTGTAAACTCAGGAAAACAGGCTGATAACACCAAAATCCTTTAATCTCCTTGAAAACTTTGGGTTTCCTTGTCTTTTTGAACTGGCTTTTTTGAATCTGGTAGGGGCTGTCTGGCAGAAAACACAGTTAGTTTTTGAGCTGAAGGACTGAAATCTTGGCAGCTGCCAGTAAAACGTTGGAGGTTAGGATGGGGAAATCAGGGAATTCAAGGAGCTTGTCTTTAATTACTGGAAATGAGGTGGTATAGAGAAGTAATAATGGCATTAATATTAAGAAATGTAAATAAATGAGGGTTTTAATCTGAGGCAGAGCTGTGCCAGTCACCTACCCTTGTGTTGGTTATCCATTAATTCACTGTCATCTCCAGCATGACATCCTTGCTTTCCTGCCTTTGCAGTGTGAGGCTGGTGCTTTATTTCTTGCCTTAGAATGTTTCAGGGCAACGTGGTGGGGTTTTGAAAGTCTGGGTGAGGGTTTGAGGGAGCAGAGAGGGGAATTGCTGAGAATTAGGGGTGGTTCTCAGGAAGCTTTGATAGCCAAACATGCCTTGTTATCTGTGTGTGGGCAAAGCCCTGTCACTGCCTCCTTCAGATAGGGGCTGTGGTCACTTATCTGTGTCCCCAGACAAAGGCAGGGCCACAGGGCTGTCCTGTCCCTGGGAGGAGCAGTCAGCCAGGACAGAGGGAAGCACAGCTGGAGGTACCCAGTGCCCCCAGAGTGCAGGGAACTCAGATCCAGCAGAACTGCTCAAGTTCTCTTGGGCAGTTACTGATTAAATCAACAAAGCCCCTGTGTTCAAATGCACATTTAGAAATGACTGGCTGGTTGTGCCTTTCAAATGAGACAGATAGTCTTGTTTGAAAAGGAATCAGCTCTGTAAGTAGACTCCCTCCTGCTGTAGTACCACTGTGTAACCCTGGTTGAAATTTCAAATTTTAAATTCCCAGCTTTAATATTGAGGGACCTTAATTTTCTCAATTTTCAGGAGCTCTGATCTGAGCTTTACAGGATCACTGAGGTTAGGAGGAGCTGACAGGGTGTGCAGGGGAGGTGGGGACAGTTAGAATCCTGGAATGGTTTGGGTGGGAAGGGACCTTAAAGCTCATCCAGTGCCACCCCTGCCCTGGGCAGGGACACCTTCCATAGACCAGGCTGCTCAGAACTGACTTGGGACATCCTTCAGCTTTCTGAGGGTGACACAAGAAATGAGGTTGTGTGAGACACTTGGGTTGTGCAGTTTTCTCTGGGCTAAGCCAAGATACTCTTCCTCTCCTCTCCTCAAACCACTTTGGTGATGTTTTCTTTCCCCAAAGTTACACCACGGCCAACGCCGAGTCCGACTACGACCGGGAGTCGGAGCGGGAGAGCGAGGACGAGGTGAGCTGTGACACCGTCAGGACCATGCGCAGGGACTCCCTGGAGCTGCCCCCCGAGGATGACAGCTGTGACATCGTGAAGAGCCTGCACAAGGACTCACTGGAGCTGACCCCTAAGCTTGAGAGCCGTGACATCGTGAAGAGGCTGCACAGGGACTCGCTGGAGCTGCCCCCTGGGAGTGACAGCTGTGACACCATCGGGGACTCGGTGGAGCTGCCCCTGGAGGATCAGAGCCCTGTGTCCCCA